TAAATGTGCAGGATTATGCGAGGACCATTTTAATGATGACTGCTTCACAAATAGTTCAAAAAGAAGATTGAAGCGGGATGCTGTACCAATCCATTTTGAAAGTGAGTACAATTATGCACAGCGAAAAAAAGCAGACAAATGGAAATAGATAGACTAGCTCAAGAAGTAGACATACAGCAAGGAGTTGAAGTAATCGAAGAAAACGCCACACCAGTTATTGCATCTACCAGTTGTACAATAAATTCAGATATCGTAATGATGAATGAGCAACCGGCAGAACAATCACTTAAAACATATAGATCATCAAATTTATGTTTTGATATTCCAGCGGAAGAGGAAAATATCATAAAATGGATACATCTAGAGCCGCCCAACTATGAAAGAATTATTATTGATAAACCTGATTTGCTAAAGAAAGAAAAAATCAATAAAACAAAAAATACGAATAATGAGAGAATTACATATTATAATTAATAATTTAAAACATGAAAATGCTCGGTTGCAAAAACACATAAAAAGTTTAAAATATCGGCTACGTATGAGACGTATACCTAAAAAGCCAAAGGGAAATAAACAAAAAAAAGGTAGTAAAAAGATTGATAAATGAACTAGAATTGCACCCTGTGGCAAAAAGCTATGATAAATTTACAGTTACATACACCAAATGCAAAATATACAGAAGAAAAAAAATTTATCGAGGCAACTTTATTATTATTCACCCTCTGCATTTTGTCGCTTACAGAAAGCGGGTTGCAATTTTCCTGGACAGCGAACAATACGAAGATGGTTAGAAGAATATGACATAAAACCAGGATTCTGCAATTTTATATTTAATAAATTAAAAGAAAAATAACTCAATTACCAATGGAGGAAAGAGTGTGTGCTTTGAAATGGGATGAAATGTATATTAAATCGTATGAGGAATATTCATCTAAGTTAAATGAAATAGAAGGCCTTGTAGATCTCGGACCTCTAGGTAGAAAATCAGAGAGAGCTAAATGTGTGTTTGTGTTTTGTTTAGATAGTTTAAATGCACGGCACCCATGGCGTCAACCTATAGCATATTTTCTTCCAGGAAAATGTATGAAGGCGAATGAAATAATTATTTTATTAAAAGAATGTTTAGATTGATTATATGAAACAGGTGCTGATGTGCAACTTGTGACATGTGATCAAGGCACATGCAATCAAAGTGCTTATGCTCAACTCGGTGTTGATACATCAGAGCAATTTTTCATATATAAAGAAAAAAAATATTACGCTTCCTTTGATTTTCCGCATCTGGTAAAAAGATTGGCAAGTTTCCTGAGGACGCATAAAAACATCTATTGCGATGGAAATATAATTGCTTCCTACTCCGACTTTGAAACGACATGGTCCATCGACAATTCCACAAAAGGAGGTTCTAATTTATTGTCACACATAACAGAAGCGCACATTCGTCCAAATAGTTTCGAAGCTATGAATGTGAAAAGAGCATTCCAATTATTCAGTCATACTTTTGCAGCCGCGATAAGAACAGCTGGCCATGCAGGAGAATTAAATACAAATACATGGCAAGCTACAGCCGATTTTGCAGAACGCATGAATGATATTATCGATGCTTGCAATTCATACAGTTTAAATGTTAAATTTGGCGGAAAACGACCATTATCCCCTAAAAATCCAGATATTGAGATTTTATTAACAGAATTTGTAGAATGGTGTTTAAAATTGTCAAAATCACTAGAAAAAATAACTAAAGTACTTGTTTCAACGGTTTTGTTATAACTATAAAAGCTATTCTTGCAACTTATAAAGCACTCTTAAGTAAAAATGAAGAATTTGAATTAGCAACAGGATTATGCAATCAAGACTCCGTGGAACATTTATTTTCCAAACTTCGACAACGCGGATGATTTAATCCTAATCCGACTGCAAGAATGATACGACTTTCCATCAGGCACATACTTTCCACGGGATATATTCAAACGAGTGACAAAGGCAATGTACAATGCCCAGAAACAGAGACTCTGATTAATGAACCGAGTAAACTTACTAAGGCTATAGAAAATGTTATGGAAATCAGCAATACAACTCTAGAATATGATGTTGATGAAAACGATAAGTTACTTGCAGAGGATGCAAATATAGTCGAAGAATATTTTGATTACAAAAATATCGAAAATGATGAACAACATAGCAGTTACGATGACAATGCAATAGCATTCTTCGCTGGATTTGTGGCACGTCGAAGTTTTCAAAAAAGTAATTGTGAAAAATGCCGCGATGTTATGATGAAAACGCCAATGGACAAGTTAACAGCAAATGAGAAATACATACAATTTAGAGAATATCCGAATGATGATGAAGACGCTCCGACAATTACAAAATTAGTACGCCCAACAAATTATTTTATAAACATAATGAGAATACAGTTATTAGTATTTAATAAAACATGGCAGCATTATTGGGCATCTACACAAATTCTGGATAAAATTGTTGCGGAGTGTATAGAAGAAACAAATAAAATGCATGCTACATGGTTTGATATTAATGATGTGTGTTATAATCATCGAGTGCAAACATTAAGATATATGATTCTTGTAAAAATATACTCTCGCACGAGATACAATAATCGTGCTGGAAAAAAAACTGGTGCACCTCTCAGAAAAGTTAAATTTTTCGAACAAATAAAACAATTGCGTAAAAATTATTCAATGGAAAAATTTAAGAAAGGATATATATATATATATATATATATATATATATGAACGTAAGCGTAAGCGCTTACGTTTAGTTCTCTACCATAGGCCTAAAAAAGAAAATGAAAGCAACAGAATTTAAAAAAGAAGAAAAAAGAGAAAGAAGATGAAAAAATAATAGGAAAAGGTAAAAAAGGTAAAAACTAAAAGGTAAAAAAAATAAGACAAATCAAAGAAATTACATACGTACGTAGACACATTAATCCTTTCTTTTGTTATGTTTACTTGTATCATGATATTGCATTGCAACGCTCAAATGCATACAATATTAAATATTTGCAAATAATATAACTTTTTAATAAACATTATTTTTGAATGATAAAAAATAAGTAGGATTTTTCAATTTCGTAGAAAATCGCAATAACAGTTGAAACATTAGCCTAAATCACACACTGCCAGGTTCTATCACGGATATTAAATAAAAAAGATTTAATATGCGATCATGCTAAGAAATTTATAAAATCATGAGCATTTTTATTATTAGCAATAATGTGATACAAGTAATGATAGTAATGAGATTTAAAGAACATTTTAATAATAAAAATATGATCATTGGCATATGATATTCTAGAGAGAATAAGGAAAAATTAATAAATACATATACAATTTGCTACAACAATAATATATAACTCCAAAATTGTGATTTTTCAGGAGACGATTTAATATAATAATAGTACATGTAGCAACCTTTTTCCCTGTGCTCATAACTACAATATTTTTTATTTGAGTTGTCATTGCTGCAACAAATGAGCGATATAAATAATAAAATGTATTCAACCAAAATAAGAATAAAACATGAAGACTATATAACAAAAAAGATGTTCTCAAATACACACGCATGTTGGGAAAAAAAGACACCAAAAGCATATGAATAATATAATTATTTAAAGGAAATCTACAGCATGCAGTGTAGATTATTAGTGTAGATTATTAGTGTAGATTTAATGTAGATTAGATAAGACTTAATAGTCTGACATTTGGGATCTGCGCATAATAAAAGAATAAGGAAAAGAGTATAAAAAACAGAAAATAAGAACGGGAAATAAGGAATAGTTCAATATCAAACATGAAATGCAATTTAGTAACGCAGAATAGATAAATTTTTTTATCCATTTTCTATTTTATTGTGCTCAATCTCTTATGCAATTGTTTCAACTATTTGCGATCTTTTTGCATGTTTATTCATATGCCAATGAATTATATAGTCATATTAATTTAATAAAAATGTATTTATCAAAATAAGTTATGTAGTTATCATTTTTATAGTAAGAAAAATTTATATTTCTTGAATGTGTCCTACGTAAAAAAAACATTTCATTACATAATTATAATAAAATAACATTATTAAGTAAACGCTAAGTATATAACAGTTGTGTTAAGTATATAACAGTTATATTAATATTTACAGTTTTAATATATTTAATATTTGCCTGGGGAAATTAAAATGAAACACCCTGTATGTGTATATATATATATATATATATATATATATATATATATATAATTAATTAATAAGATTTAATTGTTGAAGTTTCTGTGGGCCTCCCTAATGTACTGTACTGATAGAAAGGAACGTTAGGTAATATGCGTAGTCGAGTGGGTGAGACGACGAGTTAGAATTCTGGACCTTTCAAGTTCAAAACCTGCTTTTTCTATTTTTTTTAAAGGTGTATTCAAATACTTTATTATGTGTAAGACAATAAAGTAATAAATTATTAATTTATAATTATTAAAATGATTTCATATTTTTCAACAATTTTATAATTAGGAAAGATTACAATTTTTTTATGAAAACTAAAAAAATATTAAATTGATTACAAACTTATAAAGTTTTAGTTACATAAGCAAAATTGTTAAAAAATGTGCGTATAATTTTAATAATTATCAAATAATAATTTATTAATTGATTGTTCTTATACGTAATAACTTTTGTGAATACACCTTTGAAAAAAAACGAAATTAAAAAAATTAAAACAGCAGGGTTTGAACTTGAAATGGATTCTAGCACCAAGTTTCTCAACACGAAAATTATGGGCGTAGCACGGACTCGCACCAAATACAAACTTTATCGACCCTGCCAGAAAATGGGTGTGCAGTTAGTTCCGATATTGAAAACGGGTGCGAGGGGCGCTTCAAGCAGTGCCGTAAAAACGGTAACAGCCAAAACGCCGGCCTGGCCGCTCTCATCTTTCTCTCTGGTTCTGGCTAATATCTGGGATAAACGAATCCGTAATTCCCAGCCGACCGATAGACGTCTCCACCATGTCGCCTGTCGACCCTTAAAGCTCAGCCTCTCTTGTTAATCGAGGTGTATAGAGAAAGGATGTCATTCTGACCATATTTAGATATAACATAATACCACCATTCACAATTATCAATCATTCCCAATAGTGTTAGAGGTGAACAAACGTGATACTTTGCTTCGCTAGAACACAAAAATCCATAGAAGAAAAATAGTGAGTTAAAAATCATTTGTACTTCATCAAATCAATTGTAATTGGATTATTGTATAAAGAACAAAATTTTACATTAAATATGAACGTTAAACTAACAATTTAATGCCGATATATATATATATATATATATATATATATATATATATATATATATATATATATATATATATATACATACATATATATAATCACATATATATATTAATAGTATATAATATTTAATAGTTTTTAAAGGCTATCTTTTCTTATTTTGCATTAAAATTTACAATTACATTATTTTTGTAAAAAGCTAATATAAATATATAAATATTTCTTTAATTCAGAAATGGAGGCTGTAATTCAACAAAAAGTCATAGAAGTTGCCAATCATGTTGAGCAGCAATTGGATGCAGAGTTGGAAAAATTAGATAATTTAGATATCAGTGATTATGAGAAGATACGTGCACATAGATTAAATGAATTAAAACAAATGCAAAAACAAAAACAGAATTGGCTGACTTTGGTAATATATGTAATATGACATTTATTATGAAGCCCTGCACATAATAGAGAAAATATTAAGAATAAATATTAAATATTAGGAATAAGAATTATTTTAATATAATAAAATCAAAAAGATTCTGATATATATAAAAATATAAATTAGGATATAAAGAACTAAAAGAGCTAATAAACTAGTACTACCTGAATTTGTATTTGTATATTAGTTTTTCGATGTTATTTTAAAATAATTTCAAATATTTAATATTTATTCTTAATATTTTTTTCTATTGTCAGGGTCTTGGATTTTTAAATATTAAAAATAAATGTTATAATTATATGTAAATATATAAAAGCAATATATATACAAATTTATATTAAATATATACAAATTTTATCAAAATATAATGTAATGTTATATAATTAAATATTATTACAGGGTCATGGAGAATATACAGAAATATATGATGAGAAAGAATTCTTTGAAATATCTAAGAAGTCAGAAAATATAGTCTGTTTATTTTATAAAGACGATTCTCCACGGTGTAAAATTGTAGATCATCATTTCAAAATTCTTGCAAAAAGACACATTGAAGCAAGATTCTGTAAATTAAATGTCGAAAGATGTCCATTTTTAACTGGTATATTCATTTAAAATATTCATATTCTATTAAAATATTAATATATTTATTGTATTATAATTATGCATATTTGAACATTACAGAACGATTACGGATTAAAATTATACCTACAATCGCGCTAATTGTGAATGGTAAAACTAAGGATTATATTGTAGGCTTTACTGAATTAGGGAACTGTGATGATTTTTCTACAGAAACACTGCAGTGTCGTCTTGCACAATCTGGTGTAATCAATTATGATGATGATTTACTTCCTTCACAAACTGGCAAGAAGTCATTTATATTTAAACCTTCAAAGCCTAAGACTATTAAAGGACGCAATTCAGATGATTCTGATAATGATTAAAACTGTATTTAAACATGAAAATTTATATCTTTACATTTGCTGTACAATAGGGTATTACTTAAAGACCATCTACTAGACAAGGTTATTCTTTGCCAAAAAATAAGTCAAAAAGTTTTGAATAATTTTTGCTATAACAATAAAGGAGTAATTATTGTGTAAAGTGTACAGAAAAAAATTATTTAGGATTTTTTAACTTATTTTTTTAGTAAGGAATAACACTATGTAATTAGTGGGCAGTCTTTAAGTGACACCTTGTATATTGTGCATTAAATTTAATAATTATATTGCTTTGTTTTGTTTGATAGTAAACTGAATGCATTTTTAAAATTGATTCTATATTTTGATGCACTTTTGGGATAGCTTGAAATTATTTATTTATAACAAAAGCTAAATTTATAAATAGCGTCAACTTACTAATATTTTTCTATTTTTGCCTATTTATCTATGAACAATTTAAATTACTTTTATATAAAAATATATATAATGATCAAATTAAAGACATACAAAATGTAATTTAGATTTCTATTAAAATAAAGTTATTTTATAACAATTGTATGTATTTTGTAAGTTGAGATTGTAATATTTTATCGATATATAATAAAGTTTTTTCAAATTATAAAATTAAAAAATTAATAAAATTTAGAAAGAGAAAGGACAGAGAGAAAATTTATATCTAAATTTAATTTACATAGATTTGAAATATTACATAATAGTATAAATCATAACAAATGTTTAATTTTTATTTATATATTCATAAGATTTCATACAAATGAGAGAAACAATGTGATACTTTTTGGGTTTTACATAGAAAACAAAAATTTAAATTTTTAAAACTAATATATATAGAATACAGAAAAATAGTAAGTTTTTATATTTCATATAAACTGCAATATATTGTAAAACATGACAGATTGCTGTACAAGTTATTCAGAATATCACAGTAATAAGAATTGCAGTGACAAGAATTATATACATCAAGTAAATTTTCTAATTTTAAAATGTTCCCAAAATATGTATTTGCAGTTTATATCTATAATAAAAAGAGAAAATTCCACTATCATAATAAAGAAAATTAACATATATTTGTAATTTTATTTGTAAATTTAAAGAATAACTGCGTTTAATTGTAATAAATGTTACAAAAATCTATCCACAGTTTTTACAAGGAAAAATATTAACCTTCTATGTAGCAAGTATGCATATCATTTTGACGTCATTTTGCTACTTCAATTATTCAAATTTTCTTTTTAAACTATGTTGAATTGTTGCATCAAAATATATCAAATAATACATACTAATAAACAAAGTATATGCATAATATAACATCATGGGGATGCTGGAGTGACTTGAGAAGTCAGTTGTTTTTTTCCTTTCTTATCGACAAAATATGAGGTCAAATAAACTATAAATCTATTTATTGGCTATACGGATTGTTTTTTTTTTCCTAAAATTAGAACGCTTCGCCCTTTGTTAATGTTAATACTTTAATTTGTACAGGAGAAAGATTTATCAATCTGTATAGTCTTAATATTTCTTGATTACAGAATAAGAATTCATAATTCTGTAATTAAGAAATATGAGACTATACAGATTGATAAATCTTTTTCCTGTACAAATTAAAGTATTAATATTAACAAAGGGCGAAGCGTTCTAATTTTAGATCAAAAACAACCCGTATAGCCAATAAATAGATTTATACTTTATTTAACCTCGTATTTTGTCGATAAGAAAGGAAAAAAAAACAACTGACTTCTCAAGTCACTCCAGCATCCCCTTAGAAAAAAAATTAAAAAAACTTTATCTCTTGATATCATGAATAAATTTAAACATATCAGGAGACAAATTTGTTTACAATATATGTATTTATGAAGTTGATTTTAAATTTGTAAAATAAGATGACATGAAATTTATTTACAACATGTAGGAAATATTTTTTTGTGATAATATATATGTAAGTATATATCAGATTCAATGTGCTTATCACTGCTTATCTACATACACATGGAATTGAATTAGGCTAATCTATATGTAATACTTATAGGGCAATGGTAAATTTATTAACAAAAATATTTGCATTACAACTAATTAATGCAAATTTATATTTTGAAATAATGAAACAACCTTTTGACGAGTCCAAAAGTTTAACCTTGAATTTATTTAAATTAAGCTCTAAAATTGTTAATATATATGATAATTCTGAAAATAATTCATTGTCAATGTGTATTCACATTATTTGTAACAACCTCTATATTTTAGTTTGTTTCCATTATTGAAAACAATCTGACCCAGTCATTGTGAAATGTGTCAATTCAGATAATTTTATATAAATATTCATATCTGAGAAAATCACATAAGCATATGTCTTCTACCTTTAATACGATTTACCAAATTACAAATCTTAAGTGCTGGCCCAAGTTTTAGCCCCATATATTTCATCATCATATCACTATTAAGAAGAAGTAAAGCTTTGCCATCAATTTCCTAAAAATTATTATTGATTATATAAAAGTAATTTAATACAACAAAACATAATAAAAATATAATTTTGTATTTGCCTTACATGTTTCCTAAACAAATCTGCGTGTTGTCCTAATGCTGGATCTGTAATGGCAATATAATGTATTACATCTTCAATAGTCCATTCTGCTGGTTCAGTGGAAGGAATGCGATTTGCAGAAGATTCAGATTGAGTAGTAGATGTTGCTGCTTCAAATTCTAAATATAAACATATTTTTTAATTACTATATGCACTATTTTATGAGAATGTATTATGTGTATCAATTAAGACTCCTAGCTTCTCGCCGACTATGTTGGAGTTGTGACGTCAGAGGCGAGAAAACAAGTTAAAAATTTATACATGCCATTTCGAAATAAAAAGGTATTTCGATGAAACAGTTTTTCAGATGGCTTTAGCACACTCTTAAAATACCTAAAAAATTATTTTTTTCCTTTTACAATTAATCAATAGTTGTAAAATGACTGTAATTTAAGGTCCTGTAATCTGTCTGGACTTTGCAGATGCATAATCAAAGTCTGATATCACGATCATTTGTTAATTGACTGTCAAAAGGAAAAGAATAATTTTCGAGGTATTTTAAAAGTATGCTAAAGCATTTATGAAATAGTGTTTCATCGAAATATTTTTTCATTAAAAATGGCATCTAAGAATTTTCAGTATGTTTTCTTGCTACTCACATCATAATCTAATATGGTTGTGGTGAGGATGCAGGAGCCTTAAGACATAAAAAACATTATATAATAATAATATTGTATATATACACATGTATATTTATATTGCACACATTATCTATATTATTATATTCTTTATTATTAAAATTTAGTATAAAACATGGAATAATTACCAGGAACAGACTTGCGAGGTTGTTTTGCAAGTGTAGGAGTTGACAGTGTAGAATCATTTGTACTTTGTACAGTGCTCTGCTGTTGCTGTGTAGTAGATGTTAAGTTTTGTTGACTTTGTGATGACCATCTTCTTTTTTCTGTTATGGTGTTATTTGCTTCATCACTGTTAATAGATTGTGATTGTTGCGTACTAGGACATTTGTTGCAAGCCTCTTTTCTTCTGACTAACATGTGTTCACATGCACATAGATCCTCGAGTTGCCGCCTAATATACGTATAAAAATCTTCTTCTTCCAGAAAAATCGGTAATCTAACAGAGGCAGGCTTACTTTCCAGAGTCAAGTTTATGGTTTCACCCTCGCCACGTTTCAACAAACTCAACATCTGCCTGGGACTCATGGCTGCCATTAAAAATGCTTGAAAGATTTCTCTTACAACATTTAGTATAGGACCAACACCAAATTGTGCTGGCATAGCTTTCACTTTTCGAGGATCAAAATATGGTCCACAGGAACAGTTATGATTAACATAAATTGTAACTGCAATGTGTACAATTGTTATATTATTTGATTTTTAGTCTTACATGCACTTTTTTTTTTGTAGAAAATGTCACATTGTATTTAATGTAAAAACTAACCATTTTCAAGTGCATGTGGTTTTGTATTAGCCGTACTAGTATCAGGTTCTGTAGCTGGCTGTGGTGGTGCACTGGAACCTGCAGGGCTCACTAATGCAACTGCTGGTTCTCTGCTAGTATTATTATTTCCAGAAACTGCCATTACTAACAAAACATTACTAGTTCTGGACTTAAATCTGTTGGAACCTATCGCTGTATGTATTAAAAATGCAAGTTATTGACATGAAAGTTTACAGTATATTACAGATATTTAAATACTATGAAAAATAACTATTATCTATATATTGATTAATTTCGAAAATTATATTCATTTTCTCCATACATTTTTGCCTTGGTGGTTGCAATGGATGCCCACTTTTAAAACACCAACCCGCAGGGAAAATATCTCGAGAATCGTAACGACACCAATAATCAAAAGCACCGCGCCAACCATCAAATGTAATATGTATCATGTCATCTTTAACCGCACCAACAGTTGCGGTGCATATAAGTTGAGGATTTTTTTTATCAATTGCTTCTAATTTATGTCCGACTTCAAACATATTAGAACGTGGTGTCTTTGGTTCACGTTTGAACACTTTTGCTGGTGCCATTTCAGCACCATTCAACGTTTTTAGAAGGAACATTGGCCAGCTGGAAGCATTCATCCGGAAGCCTAATGGAGGTTGTAGCATCCCACCAGACTTCTCACAGTGACCTATCGGATGTATCTCATTACTGTCGACCAATCGCCAGAAATCATTTTTATTATCAGAACCATCTAATCTTAATCTCAACCGAGGTCCAAGAACGCCCACTACAGTAGCGATACAAGTTGATGTTAGGTTTCGTGGATCTAATGCTTCCAATTTCATATTGATTTTAAATTCATTTGTTGGTGGAACCTCATGCTAAAAAAGAAAAATCTATAATGTAAATTCTACATCTTAAGAATTATCTTAAAAATAAATATAAAGATTCTCTGTTTATATTAATTTTTATATTATGAAAAATAAAACTCATGAATTGATTAAATTGTTAGTCATAAACACTTATATATGATTAAACAGGGAAACATATATAAAACAAATAAAGTTATATTGCTCTTGTACCTGTTTGAAACACTCTACTGGAGCTGCTGTACTTTTGGTTTCCCTTAAGTAAAGATCCCAATCAAAAGTCTGATAGGTTTCATATTGAAATGGTCCAGTAGATGTTGATGGTGAATGAGATATGGTTGTATGATTATTTGTATTTGTATAAGATTGTGTAGTTGACGGTACATTATTGCCACTTGGCAATCCAGATGGAGCAGGAGATTGCGCAGGCGACGCTGTATCCCTATTGCCTGTAAATTCCATATATATTTGTTACTCACAAATAGAATTTTTTATAATATAAATTTTATATCAAGGGTATGTATTTATCACTTTTCTTCGTATCAGCTTGACTCTCTTTCTTTTGATATGCATTTAAACAAAATGAAGAGCAGAAATCTTTTGTTGGACCATCCTTCTGTTCTAATTTGACAGGCGTATTTCTGATTACATTGTCACATTGTACACACGCGCCTCGTGCATAAGTCTTACGTGATTCAGACAGACACGTTTCTGAACAGAACTCTTTCTTGCCATTCTGAGTAGGAAGAACATATTTCAACGGTTGTTTTGTTTCCCCGCACCATGTGCAAGCATTCTTTGATTTTGGCGGTCGGCCTGGACCTATTAAAATAAAAATATTCAAATTAAAAAAATTTTTTGTTTACATTTTCCTTACACTTGTTCATCAAAATGTAATCAAATATATAAATATATATATATACATAAATATATGTGTGTATATATATATATATATAATTATGTACACATAAAGAAAAATATATATAAATATATAAATGAAATCCATATGTACATATATAAAATAAGTTGAAATAGCAACGAGATACATTGCAATATATACGAAGCGAATAGTCTATGCAAGTTTACAAGGTTATTTTTTTTGGCAAGTATCTTAACATACCTCGCATCTTGGTCTGTGTGGACGACATGTTCCGGCATACAAGGGTAAGGATTAAATGAAATCGCCAGAAAAGCTAGCTAGCACAATAACTAATTGATTAAAATCATGTTCGTATGTAATATCGAAATGAATTTCAAAGCCGCAAACGCGCCACAAGATTGAGATGATACGAAAACTTCTTACACGAAGACGAATCGTCACTAGATGAAATATACACACACGCTTCTCTATTTATTATAATTCTGATCTATACTACCAGAGTATAAGGATTTCAACTATGGAATCAAAATAATCTATGTATCCCGTATTGTAAGTTATTGTATCACTCCGCCATATTGCTTCAATTTGGCCGCGCAATCCGCGCATAATAGCTTCGGAGGAATAAAGCAAAAACAAGGTGATTTTCGTCATTTAAACACGATAAATGTTTTTTTAACTACATACATTATTACAAATTTAAAACAATAAATTTGTAGTCAAATTTTTTAATAAAAAAGAAAGAAAAATAAAAATTAGAAGAAAATTACAAGAAGCACTTAAAGGCCCGTATTCAAGGTGCGAATCCATGCAGCGGAATAGCGTTGTGACATCCCGCCATTGGTGGTGTCACGTCCTAGTGACTGTAACATCCCGTCATTTTTTCGAAACGGTTGTCACGTCCTAGTGACCTTCCTACTCTCTCTATTTCTAGGCTAGAAAGAATGGGGCGCTCTCTATTTTTTATGAGGCAACCTGCTTACACCGGCTATACCTCAGGGACGCCGAAAGCACGGACTATACTGTGGAACTAGGGACCGAGTGTTGGGACATTGAGGATGGGGAATTCTAGTTACTAGTAAAAAAAGGATTTCTACTAGCGATTCTTTCTAAACTATTTAATAAATTTATCAATTGATCGACCGTGATTTCCCCGTTTAAATAGTTGTTAATTAATAAATTCAATAGCGAAAATATAATATAACTCTCAAATCTAAGGTCTTGAGAATCCCTCATGTGGTCCTATTATTAAATGATTATTTAAATTATACGAATTATCGGTTTTCGCGAAGTCTTACGTTTATCGTGTACAATGGATCTGGAAGGTTATCTAAACAGACGAGAAACTGGTCTAAATCGATGTTTCCCTCTAAAACGTCTGTTAGTAGGGCGATAATTATACTTATTATCGTATGAATTTCTTTGTTAATTAATTTCCGATTTTTTTCAATAGTAGATTCTGATGACATTTGAGAAATGGTTCAAAAATTTAAATAACTAGCATATTGATTGATTTTAAATGAGATATCCGGACACTGTTCTTCTAAGAATTTTATTAGGTCCTGGGAGATTTCCTCCTCTATTTCTGATACTAAATCGCATAGTTCCGTGAATAATGACGATTCGAAAAAGTCGTCGTTGAAATCAAAAGAATTAGATAGTTCGCCAATTGAGGGTTCGAACTTTGTGTCTGGGAAGGTTCTTTCGTCCGTAAAAAGGGTTTTGTCAAGGGCTTGTCGCTGAAGCCAACGTAAGGTAGATGCGGCGCGGTTAGCACGATTCTTTTTACTTGCTCTACGATTACGTTTCTTTCGATATTCGATCTTCTGTTTTCGCGTTTTCATGAAGCATAGAATAGTAGTGAGGTATCAAATTTAATAAGGGAATATTGTCAGGGAGATATTAATAAGGAAAATGTACTGATGGAGATTGCATCAGTGTCGTATTAATATCTTTGTTAATTTACCGTTGGATCCCGTCGATTGTATTTAGGTAGACAATAGGAAAATAGTTAAATATTTAAATAATTAGCATATTGATCGATTTCAAATAATTTGTCTGGACACTGATCTTTTAATGATTGTATTAAATCTTTACGGTGAATTTGTTTCTGAGAAGTATCTTCTTCTATTTGTGACACTAAATCACACAGTTCTGCAATTAGTAACCGTTCTGAGAATTGATCCTTTATTGTTTGTACTTCGTTCCCTAGGATAAAATTGTTCCGGGAAATTATTTCTTTCTACTTGCAATACTAATTCGTGTAATTCCGTGATTAGTAACTGCTCTGAAGAATCGGTTTCTGAACTAAATGTATTAGATGGTTCTTTTGGCAAGGATTCTATTTCAGAGTCAGGGGGAATTCCTTTGTCTGAGATTGGTGATAACTCTGGGAAGCTAGTTCTGAGATTAAAATAATTAAGTGCTTTTTCTATTAAAGAATCAATTGAACCTGATAATTCAGAAGTCGTGAATTCAAGGGAATTAAGTGGTTGGTTGATCGAAGTTCGGTCTCAATATGAGGGGGAGTTCCTTTGTTCGCTATGGGCTTATTGTCAAGATTTAGTTGAATAGAGAAGTCTTCAATCTTTTTATGGTCTCCGGAGAAAAGGTAACTTTTTCACACGATTTGACGCGAGGTCTATTATCTATTGACCGTCGCCCCACACAACGTAGAGTAGATGCGGCACGTTTAGCGCGAACCTTTTTTCCTGCTCTGTGTTTTCTTTTATTCCGACGTGCGATCTTCTGTTTTAATGTTTTCATTTATAATACGTTATGGAATAATAGGAAAATGGTTATCAATTTAATATAAGGGTACAATTGAGAAGGATGTATTGAGAGGGATTGCGTTTATTGAACCAATTCCAATTAACTAAGGAATTTATTAAGGGGTAACACCACTGTAAAATTTTCAAAAAATCGATTTTTTTTTGGGGCTTAAAAAATCCTTTGAACCCTGTAGAATACGAGGAAAAAACTTTTATACGTGAAACTAATTTTTTTCATCAAAATTCCTAGCTATGTACTGAACGAGTCGGGCGACTCCGAAACGGCTATCTGCTCCGGGTGGAAACCTGTCGAGAGAGTAGTGCATAATACCTTGCTTATTGATTTCTAAGTTATGTGAGACACTACTAGATGAAATATATCTAGATATATGAAATATATCTAGATATATCTAAAATATATCTAAAATATATCTAAATATATCTAAATATATCTAAATATATCTAAATATATCTAGATATACGAAATATATCTGGAAATGGAAATTGGCGTCGAAGCATATAATTTTTGCATCAAATCCGATGCAAAACGAATCAAGCACGCAGAGGCACAATTATCAGATGCAGCAAAAAAAGCGCGCTCTGGCATAACATCTGCGAGGAAAGAAATGGAGGACGAATATTCCAACTTAGAAGGGCAGCTTTACGGTGCTGGGATTGCAGACTAATAGTAAAAATTTTTTTTGAGTCGAATTTTAAATTTTTTCATGTTATAATACAACTCCAAACTTTAAACGCGTTTTTCTCGAAACACGTTTTTTCAACGCGGCAAGCAGTATAACTCTAACAATTTTTAATATTTTCACTTGAATTTTTTACTGTACATTCAAAACAACATTTCGAAGTACAATACGTATGGAATTTTTGATACGTTGCTCTAAACATTTTTATTGCCAAATAATGTCACTTTTTTTTGTCGAAAAATGAACGACTTTATTCAAATGCTCGCCAATCACTCAAAAATCAATATTTCTAAAATCCCATACGTATTGTACTAGATATACCATTGAAGATCATGAGGAATTTTTTTATTTGTTCTTGGTTCAAATTTCCAACGGCTACACTGCTTGCCGCAGACCCCTTTATTTTAAAGGAGCATCAGGGAATATGGCTGCCATTCCGCCATTTTGTAATATTATTTTATGAAAAAATTTTTACAAGTACTTCAATATATGCTTATTAACTTCACGGAGTATTAATACTTTATTTCATTTCCTTTCATTAAAAAAAAAATGTCGAAAAAGTGCAATTTTTTGGGCCGTTACAGTGGTGTTACCTCTTAAAATAATGTTTGTTAAATTATTGATCTCCTAGTATCATTTTATTAGGAAGGGGAGAGGTGAAGGAAACGTCTACATACAGTGCAGCGAGGCGCACGACATAGATAATAGCGCTTTTAGAGGTGAAGGAAATGTCTACAATACAGTGCAGCGAGGTGCACGACATAGACAATAGCGCTCTTAGAGGCGAGGGAAATGTCTACAATACAGTGCAGCGAGGTGCACGACATAGACAATAGCGCTCTTAGAGGTGAGGGAAATGTCTACAATACAGTGCAGCGAGGTGCACGACATAGACAATAGCGCTCTTAGAGGTGAAGGAAAGTTGGTGGGAGAAAGGTCTTTGGTGCGTTATTCCGAACTCGGGGCGATAGAAATATGAGAATGAGAATGAAAGGAATTATTAGAATAATAACAGGAGATCTGTCTTTATGTTAGAATCTAATATTGATGTAATTTCTTATTGATAGGATATTTGAAAGGTGATTGGATAATGATTGAAAGAAATCTACGCGACCTTCGAAACTCGTTCAAATTTTTATGTAATGTCGGAGTGTTGGATGATCTGTGTGTTTAACAGATTCCTACCTTTAAGACGACGAACTCTTCGTAGACCTGTGATGTGCCTGGCCAGCTTCGCTCCCTCGCAAGGACCTCGGTCGTGGGGTGCTTATGGCGAAATCAAACGCTCGGTCGTACGATGCTCTGAAGTTCTTTATTCGTCTTTTAATCCGGTTACAAATTGTGCGTGATTTAAAAGTTAAGAAGTCAGCGAGTTCGACGGCTAACCCGTGACTTGAACAATGTACTAAGTTACAAATTTACGCGGGGTTACAACGATTAGGCGTCGTTGACAAAATTATATGTTCCAAGATTTGCGTTGTAGATCGTTATGATGATTTTAGGATGATACCAAATTGTTGTTGCACTTCTTGGCTAGCGACAATTTAAAATGTACACTGTAACTTTCTATGATAAAATGCCGTCGTGTGATTCTACTGTTATGATGATATACGTTTCTGATATCGTTCTCTATATAATTCTCTGCTATATTCTAGTTGTTGCAATTTTAATATAATGAAATGAAGTTATGATTGCTAAATTATATAGTTATGATTTCAGAACGTGGTATATTCTTATAAAGTTACGGTGAAATGTTGTTATATTCATGGAATCCTTATTTATGTAAATATATTGAAAAAAAGGAGAATAACATCTATGATACTAAGTTGCAAGAATCCGAGTAGTTTCAGTAATAGTGATAAAGATAGTAAGGTTCCATAAATATAATTACAATTGAGGCGCATCGTTATCTTATAAATTAAAGAAAAGATTTTATGGAATACTTTATGACAAATAGTCGGTCATTAGAATTTATTAATTTTATGGTTCATTCACATTGTGTGGTTAAGATGTTTATTCAGACGATTCATCATTTTAACTATTCCATAAATAAGATTATACAATTTCAAACATATTGATTATAGGATTCACACATTGATTAATAGATTTGCACACATTGATTATATTTCGCATTTATCGTTCATACCGTTAGGGTTGTAAGAGATGGCGACGACTAGTAATTTATAGGTATACGCTCGTTGTGTTGGATTGGTCGCGTTGCTAGTCCCTAGACTAGTTACAACTAGAAGATTCCCTATGCCGGTATTACTAACGATAAATAATAAAAACGTCTAATTCTAAGTTAAATCATTCTCAAAATAGTTAATTATATAGGTTCTCGCAAAAAATGATGTTAAAGCGAAAAAATTAGGGTTTCGGCCAATGGCGGGACGTCACACGGTATTTTCAAGCGCTACAAATCCTTCTAAATAATTACTGTCACGTCCTAGTGACCTTCCTACTCTCTCTATTCTTAGGCTAGAAAGAATGGGGCGCTCTCTATTTTTTATGAGGCAACCTGCTTACACCGGCTATACCTCAGGGACGTCGAGAGCATGGACTATACTGTGGAACTAGGGACCGAGTGTTGGGACGTTGGGATGGGGAATTCTAGTTACTAGTGAAAAAAAGATTTCTACTAGCAATTCTTTCTAAATTATCTAATGAATTTATCAATTGATCGACCGTAATTTCCCCGTTTAAATAGTTATTAATTAATAAATTTAATAGCGAAAATATAATATAACTCTCAAATCTAAGGTCTTGAGAATCCCTCATGGAGTCCTATTATTAGACAATTATTTAAATTACACAATTATCGGTTTTCACGAAGTCTCGCGTTTATCGTGTGCAATGGGTCAGGAATGTTATCTAAACAGACGAGAAATTGATCTAAATCGATGTTTCTCTGTAAAACGTCTGTTAGTAGGGCGATAATTATACTTATTATCGTATGAATTTCTTTGTTAATTAATTTGCGATTTTCTTCAATAGTAAATTCTGATGACATTTGAGAAATACCTTAAATATTTAAATATCTAGATAATTAGCATATTGATCGATTTCAAGTAATTTATCTGGACACTGATCTTTTAATAATTGTATCAAATCCTTACGATAGGTTTGTTTCTGAGAAGTATTCTCTTCTATTTGTGGTACTAAATCACACAGTTCTGCGATTAGTAACAGTTCTGAGAATTGGTCTTTTATTGTTTGTACTTCGTCTGTAGGCTAAAATTGTTCCGGTAAATTATTTTTTTCTACTTGCGATACTAATTTGTGCAATTCCGTGATTAATAACTGCTCTGAAGAATCGATTTCTGAACTAAATTTATGAGATGGTTCGTCTTGGAAGGATTCTATTCTGGAATCAGGGGAAATTCCTTTGTCTGAGATTGGTGATAACTCTGGAAGCTAGTTCTGAGATCAAAATAATTAAGTGCTTCTTCTATTAAAGAATCAATCAAACTCGGTAGTTCAGGAGTCGTGAATTCAAGGGAATTAAGAGGTTGGTTGATCGAGGTTTCGGTCTGAATATGAGGGGGAGTTCCTTTGTTCGCTACGAGCTTATTGTCAAGATTTAGCTGAATAGATGAAGTCTTCAATCTTTTTATGGTCTCCGGAGAAAAGGTAACTTTTTCACACGATTTGACACGAGGTTTATTATCCGGTGACCGTTGCCTGAGCTAAAGTAGAGTAGATGCAGCGCGGTTAGCGCGAGCCTTTTTCTTACTTGCCCTACGATTACGTTTTTTTCGATAATTGATCTTCTGTTCTCGTTTATTCATTTATAAAATTGTCATTAAATAATAATGGAATATCTATTCAAATTAGATGTCACTAGGAGAATACTACTAGGAGGTGGTATACTGAAAGAGATTACGTTAATTGAATCAAATCTTATTAACTAGAGAATTTGTCAAAATAACATTCGCTAAATTATTGGTCTCTTTGTATCGTTTATTAGGAAGGAGATTTAGGAAAAAAATCTACCTCGGGGCGTTGATAGGAGAGTTGTTTCCGGTGCGCTTATTCAGCGCTTGGGGAAAGGAAATAATCAGGGGTTTGATAAGAGAGTTATTTCCGGTGCGCTTATTTAGCGTTCGGGGGAAGGAAATAATCGGAGATTTGTTTCCGGTGCGCTTATTCAGCGCTCGGGGGAAGCAAATAATCGGAGAGTTATTTCCGGTGCGCTTATTCAGCGCTCGGGGGAAGGAAATAATCAGAGAGCTGTTTCCGGCGCGCCTATTCAGCGCTAGGGGAAGGAAATAATCAGAGTTGTTTTTGGTGCGCTTATTCAGCGCTCGGGGAAAAGAAATAATCAGAGAGTTGTTTCCGGTGCGCTTATTCAGCGCTCGGAGGAAGGAAATAATCAGAGAGTTGTTTCCGGTGCGCTTATTCAGCGTTCGAGAGAAGGAAATAATCAGAGAGTTGTTTCCGGTGCGCTTATTTAGCGCTTGAGGGAAGGAAATAATCAGAGGGTTAAGAAGAGAATTGGAAGGTGATTAGATAATGCTTGAAAGAAATCTGCGCGACCTTCAAAACTCGTTCGAATTTATATGTAATGTCGGAGTGTTGGATGATCTGTGTGTTTAACAGATTCCTACCTTTAAGACGACGAACTCTTCGTAGACCTGTGATGTGCCTGACCAGCTTCGCTCCCTCGCATGGACCTCGGTCGTGGGGTGCTTATGGCGAAATCAAACACTAGGTTGTACGATGCTCTGAAGTTCTTTATTCGTCTTTAACCCGTTTACAAATTGTGCGCGATTAAGAATTAAGAAGTCAGCGAGTTCGACGGCTAACCCGTGACTTGAACAATATATCAAGTTACAAATTTACGCTGGGTTACAGCGGTTAAGTGTCGTTGACAAAGTTATATATTTCAAGATTCGCGTTATAGATCGTTATGATGATTTTAGGATGGTACGAAATTGTTGCTGCACTCCTCGGCTAGTGACAATTTAGGATGTAACTTTTCTGATAAAATGCCGTCGTCCGGCCAGATTTTCTAGGGTTAATATACCCCTCGAAACCGAAAAATCTTGGTGTCAAGTGCGAATTTTTGGGTGGAAGGATTCCCACAAAAACGCTTTTCCAGGAAGATATCATAATAAATTTTCTTATAAAAGAAGGGGTGGTTTGGGGGTCCTGAGAAGACAACGAGTGAGCTCTTCTTATGACCAAATATGGTCAAGAGAAGCTCTCATGACCATATAAAGTGATAGGCGACGAGAAAATCCAAAAGAGAATAAGTCGTAAAAGTCTATGATTTGTTGATTCTCGAGGTTCACGACGTGCAGATATTAGTATCCCGAAAGGCGCGGGGTTGCTTATCGTGTCAAGATCGGGGGTGGTCCGGGCGACAAAGAAAGTTCAAGCGGTAGCCGCACGTTGGGGTTCTATTGTTCGCTTGCTAGCTTCTATACGTTTCTGAAATCGTTCTCTATATAATTCTCTGCTATATTCTAGTTATTGCAATTTTAATATAATGAAATAAAGTTATGATCGCTAAATTATATAGTTAGGATTTCATAACGTGGTATATTCTTATATAGTTATGGTGAAATGTTGTTATATTCATGGAATCCTTATTTATGTAAATATATTGAAAAAAAGGAGAATAACATCTCTGATACTAAGTTGCAAGAATCCGAGTAGTTTCAATCATTGATAATAGTAAGGTTCCATAAATATAATTACAATTGAGGCGCATTGTGATCTTGTAAATTAAAGAAAAGATTTTATGGAATATTTTATGACAAATAGTCGGTCATTAGAATTTATCAATTTTTATAATTCATTTACCATTGTGTGATTAAAATATTTATTCAGACGATTCATCATTCTAATTATTCCATAAATAAGATTATACAATTTCAAACATGTTGATTATAGAGTTCACACATTGATTAATAGGTTTGCACACATTGATTATATTTCGCATTTATCGTTCATACCGTTAGGGTTGTAAGAGATGGCGACGTCTAGTATCTTATAGATATACGCTTGTGTGTTGGATTGGTCGCGTTGCTAGTCCCTAGACTAGTTACAACTAGAAGATTCCCTATGCCGGTATTACTAACGATAAATAATAAAAACGTCTAATTCTAAGTTAAATAATTCTCAAAATAGTTAATTATATGGGTTCTCGCAAGAAATGATGTAAAAGCGAAAAATTTTGGGTTTCGACCAATGGCGGGACGTCACACTTCTCCTCTTATTTAAGAACAAATTTTGATGATTTTGAAGGAATTTGTTCTATGTCCTTTAAACGATCCCATAGATCCTGGTAGCGATAATTAGAGTCGAGAGTATTTGTATTTGCTGCTGGTTTGATATTGGATGAAGCATTATCAATTAATCTTGAAAATCCGTCGATTGTTGTTGTAAATTCTTTGGTGGTTCCCTCGGGTGCGGACGATGGTGGTGATTCGTCAATTTCCTTTTTATTATTCTTAGTCTTATTAGCGGGTCCTCGAGCGAGGTGAAGCAACAGGTTGGTGAGAGAGCTCCAAATTGCTCCAAATAAATGCATGCTCCATCCGTAAGCTAAATGTAGAGCGTAACCGTGGATTGCTGTGTTGATAACGATTTTTAT